AATGAGAGAGGGAGACAGAGCAAATGCATTTGTGTCTTTATTCAGAGATGTTTCCTTTTCCTATACTTCACCTGCCACTCTTTGGGATGTTTTCCAGGTTGCATCAAGTGAATTTCGATGCTCCCACTTGCGAAGGCAAGCATCGGGAAAAGCTCTCCTTGATAGGGGACTTCTCCTCTTCGGCGGAGTTCTTCGTCACCATCGCAGTCTTCGCCTTCCTTTACTCGCTGGCTGCCACCGTGGTTTATATCTTCTTCCAGAACAAGTACCGTGAGAACAACAGAGGACCTCTGATTGTAAGTGTGCGTTTGCAGGCAGAGGTCTTAACCTCTCGCTTTTTTGGTGGTTGAGGCTGTGGCGTGGTCTGGGAGATCCAAGTGGCCCAATGCCCAAAGCATCTCTGCCTTCACCTATTCAGGTTTTTAAATCTTAATGGTGATTTAAAATTCTAACATCAAGGGTAACAGAGACTATATGCAAGTTCAATCCTAATCTTGCATGTACTTGTGGGATTCCCCGCTTCTCTCCCACTGCCTGCAGTGATGATATCCATGCAAATAATGAACATGTAGCTCTGTGGTTGCAGGATGGGGTCCAAGCCATACACCTGTGACAGCAGAGCTTCGTCAGTGGGGCAAAAAAGGGAAAAGGATTTCTTAGGCATCATCGTAGCAGATAAATGAAACCGTGCCCCTGACCAAAGCCTAGCCAGGGAGATTGCTTATTGCTAATTACTGCTGGCTTCAGCCAGATGATTTGGCTTTGGAGAATTATGTGGCTGGTTTTCCAGTATTACCCTGAGCTCCCAGCACATTTCTGTCTTCACAGTGGTTTATGAAACTCCTCACAGTTACCATTCTCTACACCCATCAAGCTGTGGCTCTTCGTGCCTTTGTTTTCCCTTTTACTGATTCCTGAAGGCTTGTGATAAAAAGCAAGTGCTGCTGTGCATTCATTTCCTTGTAAATCGAGGCTCTAAAAGCAGTGAGAGCTATTTTGTTCTAGGTGTCCATTGCCTGCTAGTGCATCATGGCCCATCAAACACCCCTTGGCCTTGTTATACTGGGAAGAGCTGTGTGCTGAACCTCGCTGCACTGAATTTGGTCAGGTCTCTGCATCTGCAGGCTGTAGGGTTGCCTCACACCCTCTCTTCCATGGGCGACCCTCTCCCCCTTGACTGCAAGGATAAGGGCACACTAAGGTAGAGGAAATATTTTTCCGAAGTCTTGGTGTGAAAAGCAATTCAAAGGGAAAGCAGTAGGAGTTTAGTGAGAACTGATGTAAGAGTTAGTCCTGGCTTTAAGAAAAATCTAAAGTGTATAACTGACAGAAACCAGACTTTTGGCTGAGACTTGTGCCTCAAATGACTCAAAGCCACCAATAAAAAACATTAGAAAAATACAGTAGGAAAATAAGTCACCCGTGCAGCAAGGCTGTACTTCTTAAAGGAAATAACTACTGTAGCAGTAAGCAAAGATTATACTTTCGGAAGGTAATCTTAGCATCACAGGGCTTTGAGGGAAAGATTTTCCTGCTGCAAGGAGATGGGAGTTGTTTTGTTTAAGTCTGCATAATCCAAAACTGATGACTTGATACAGGAGAAGAAAAGTCTCAGTCCACATCAAAGGAAACAAATCCCCTTCATTTTGGGGTGGTTGGGACCTTTCCTCTCTGCTTAGAAAATAGTGAGGAAAGGAGAGCAAATTTTCCCAGAGGAGAGGTAGAAACAAGCAAGATCAAGAGGTCTCTGCTGAAACAGTAAATAAACAGAATCTTGCTTCTGTTTGATTCCATTGGTATTGAGTAATATCTCATTTCAGATTGTCTCATCAAAGGATTAGTTGCAGAGATCTGCCATTTTCATTTTCTTCTGGAAAATAATTCTATCTTCTGAGCAACCACATTATCCTGTGTAGCATCAGAACAAGGAAAGAGGAAAAAATACTACTCCTGTCAGGTTGTGGTGTGGCTGTTTGCCATTCTCCAGGACTTTCCCGATACAGCTGCTGCAGCCGTGTTGTCACAGGATGCACGGTGCAATCCGCTGCAGCATTAACGTGGCATTGATTTAATTTCTTCTGTGTAATGGATTGTAATTGAATTTACAGGTTAAATTTAAGCAGTGTCTGTTACCAAAGCTGCTGTTTGCAATGTCCCGGTCTTTAAACCAAGTCTAAATGACCTTGTTTGTTCAGAATATAAAGAGTGTGTCCTACACCCACAGCAGCTCATGCAGTGACTGGTGTTGGGAAGTGGCTTAGGGTTATGCTTAGCCTACACCTGCTCCAGCATCTCCTTTCCACTTCCAGCTCTGCTGTGTTGAGTATTTTTAGAAAAGATGGCCCTTTTTCCCATGGAGAACATCCCTGCTGGTCTCTGCCCAGTGCAGTGATTGCAGCATCACAGCCTGACAGGGACAGGGTGAGTACGACTATGCAGT